TACGCACCCTAATAGAAAATCCCTAATTCTTCAAGGCACTGACAACCCCATATTATCTCTAATAATAGATCTGACTAATGGGTAATCTTGGGCATTAGTTCTCTGTTCAAATGACACGTATAAGCATCAAATGTAAATGTAGTAACAACCTCTTCCACCCCCCAAACTTCAGCTTCAAACATTCACATTCAAAAGAGAACCACAAGCACATCGCAAGATCATCTCAACATCTATCCAGCTCATGCCCAAAAATACCCTAATATCATAAACTGGATTCCATCCAGTGCCAATCACAATCAGATCATTGTATGAGCAAATGGTGATTTTTTTCTTCGAAGAAAAAGAAAACTAGACGAAAGGTGACAAGAAGTCACCTGAGAGAATAGCACAACACGACCACTAAAAAATCCAACCCAACCAACAATAAAAACAATCCACCAACCTCCCTCAAGCCTTTAACATGATATACCAATGAAAGAGAAACCAAAAACTCAACCTTGGCCCCCCAAAACAACACCATTTCCAGATTCCAGACTAAAAGGACCCACCCCAGCTGAGAAGAAAAAATAAAATCCCCCACCATCCACCCTTTTAATCATCTGCATGACTCGAGAAATCATAACCACTTCCAACCCCCAAAACAACCTTGAGCTCAGATACTTGACTTCTGAAGAATCGCCTTCAACAAGCTTGCTTCCTTTATTGTTGAACTTCTGAACTTCTTTACCTTTTTGACAGGCCCTACACCAAATGCGCTTCACATCAACCTTGCAAAAGCTTTAGACACTGAAGGTTTGTCGACACTTTAACTTTCAAAAGTGTTCCACTGTGTGACTATCTTCTAAGGCCATGATCATGAATTCCACTTCTTCACCCCCTTCCCTATCAACCACCCCATCAAGCCCCGTAATCCCAATTTTAACTTGACTCTCCATAACCCCTAAATTGAAACCCTCCTCATCATAAATCAACTTCTTTTCCACTCTTTCCCTTTCTCCCGTCTCTTTAAAAATCTTCCTTGCAAACTCTTCTCCTCCTAAAAAGGATAAACCTAATCTTTTACTTCCACTTGTTCACCAAATCCAAATCAACCAAACTCATCACAACATGTGTTTCATCCATTGTAACTTCCTCTTCTTGATTTTCTTCCCCTTCATTTTCAGATCCATCTTCCCTTTCATTCAAAGGTCTTGTTCTGAACTTTTGATTCCTGTTAGCCAACTTAGCACAGCCCACACCCTTACTCTCTTCCACCAATTTAGATTCCTCCTCTGCCACAAAAAACTCTTCAGTGTTTGTAATGACCATTTGTCCACCCCAGGAGCATTCCATCCATCTCAAGTTGAACATTTTCATTACTGTTCCTATCAGCTTCTTCCCTTTCCACCCTTCCCTTTCAACGAACCCACATTGAACAGCAACAATCACTCTTTCTCCCTCAGTAACCATCTTCTTTATCTTTTTCTCTTACATCCTCCTGTATCACATATCCTGTCAATTTCTCCCCTACAAATCATCCACCTCCCTACTAACCTCCCCTTGACATCCCTCCTTTTTCAAGTCTACAAATCTCCCCCCCTTCCTTGCAGCCCCACCCTCTCCATACTATTATCAGAGAACTCATTTTGGATCCTCACATCGGAAGATTGCATTGTAGCTTCCAAACACGCACACTGATATTAACAGAAACCCCCCCCCCTCAGTTTTCTTTCCAGTTGGATTGACCCTACTTAAACCCCACTCTTTTGAACTATGGTTCAAACCAACAGCCTTATCGTTGTGGACAACCCTCAGCTTTTGTACAAAAACTAGATACACAACGCTTGAGTTTCCAAGCATTGGTGATTATCAGCTCTGCCACACAGAATGTCAAGTGTTCTTCCTTTCAAAATTTGCAAGGGTTGAGCTAATACATAAAGCATTCCCAGTGATTACTGCTTTTCCAATATAAAGTTCAGTACATGAAGAGTCTTCCTGTATTGCCCAGGCTTCACCAACCGTCCTAACAAAATATCCCTCAAGACTGAACAACATTGCATCCATAACCACCCTTTCCCACTTTTATGTCTTTGTTTCTGTGTCTACTTTCACACTGTTGATACCAATTTCTTTTTTTTCTTTCAATCAGTAACTGTTACTTCATCAAAAGGATTAACACATCAATACATGAATTGTGAAGTGTACAAATTGAAACTGGAGATATAACAGCTCTCTCCAATACCAAAAGGCTTACAAGTGAGCCCAAAATATCTGATCCCTCCCAACCCCTTGCTTTGCCAAAGAGTCAGCCATGTTGTTAGCCACCCTTTGCACCCATTGGATTCTAATATCCATGCCCCTGGTTATCCATTTAAACATTTTAAACGTATTTTGGCACATCTATAAATCACTCCCCTTGTTTAGTAATTGCTTGATCACCAATTGTGAATCTCTTTCAGAAATCAGTTTGTGCACATTCAGCTCCTTTACTCTATTTACCCCTTCCATAACTGCCATTACCTTCAGCCTTCAAAGAATCACCAGTGCCAACCCGACCTGAGAATAGTGGCACAACATGCCCTAACTCATTTCTGAAAATGCCTCCTACACCTGAAGGACCTGGGTTCCTTCTCCTTCTTCCGGATGCCAATCTATTAAATTGCACTGTCTGTTAACAGTTATGCCCCCATAATGCTTGATTCTGATCCCATAGACCCACCTTCCCCAACTTTCCCATCATTGTCAAGTAAAAGAAACACAGCCTGGCAGACTTGATCATACAAGCTGATCACATTCACAGCATCTCCCTACATAAATCAATACAGTAATATGGTGAATTAACAAATTGAACTGCAAATGCAAATACACCCTCTATCATTAATGACTTCACAACATCTCCAAATTTTTTTGTTGTGAATAGGAAGAAGCAGCAATGGTCCCCCAATTTCTGACAAAGTCCACCTTGAAGACCGAGGAGAGAGAAGAGCTTTGACCGCATGTGCCACTCTTATAGTAATAGTTTCAATAATTGTTTCCGAACTCCTCTCCACTTCCTAAAAAATACTCTTATTTCTTTCTTCCCATACTGTCCACACCACTACTGCTCTAGTACATCTCTACCATAACAATCTACCCCTCCTTTTCCTGCTTCTCAACATAGCAGGGCTAAACAATCACTCCAAACTGTCAGGGGGTTCCCACCTACACCCAAAAAGAGAAAAGAAAAACCACTCCCAGATACAGCAAACAAAGGGATAGGAGATTAAGAGATAGAAAGCAATCTCACCATTCTTCTTACATAAACAACACCAATTGGGGGACAAAAACCAACTTGGTCTTTTCCTTTTCAGCAGATCACAAGTATTAATGGTACCATGGAAGACTTCCCAGCAAAAAGCACCAACTTTCATGGGGATAGGAAAGCACCAAACTACCTTAACAGGAAAGGGGGAAGGAATTGTCCATAGAGACTTATAAAAAAGGATTTACATGAGAAGCACCTGTGCGGATTAAGGGACCACAGGACTTTCAGCATTCATCAGGTACTCTAGTTCTAATTCCCCAAAACACTAATCTAGTGTAGTCTTCCCCTCCTAGAAACAATAAACCCAACTTCTTGCCAACTTGGACTCCAGTTGTTGTTTAACGGAATGGATCATTTGAAAGAGTAATTTAACCAAATGGAACTCTTTTAGGCTACAGAAAAGAAGAGGGGGTTTTTTGTCCATAATACTAAATTTATAAAGTAGACACATGCCAGATAAGTCACGCCTCACCAGGAAAATGGTAAGGTCGCTTTTCTCAACATAGTAGTATAAATGTATGCTTACTGAAAGGAAAAAGATATAATATGAGAAAGGGAGAGAATCTAAGCATCTTTCTTTGGTTAATAAGAATATAAGATATAATTAGCAGAAAAAAGGGGAACCCAGGGTAATGGCCTACTCCAAAGGTGAGAAACCACCTCAAAGCAAATGTTCTACAACTCTTTGATAGTCCATCCTACAAGAGATCTCATAATAAACCACAGCAGTCATTATGTCGTTTTTACTTTCTAGAATAAGATGTTCCAAACTTTCAATCAGTCACATATCTCAATCCAAATTCTTCACTCAAACTTCAAACATAAAAAGTCTAGGTCATCCACAAAGTGGGCCATGATCATCTTCTATGCTATTCCCTAAATGTATATGTGTGGCATAAAGGTTAACTCCTATCAAACCGTAGCAATTAAGGATATGAATACCTGGATCTATAACCAAATCAACAAGCTTCCAACAGCACAACCAATTCAGAGAGAGAATGAAAGGAGACATCAATCAGTTAAGAAATTAACTTGAGAAGGAAGATCAAGTCAATTGCAGATGGAATGATATGGATAATTTTAATAGTTAAGGAATCAGAGCACGTACGAATGCGAAAATGGTTCTTGTTAATCTAACTGGAATAGATAGGCCATATGATGCACAAAAACAAAAGTATGAAGAAAATAGTAATAGTTAGATGTAATTATCAAAAAAAATGGTAATAGTTAGATGTATGATAAATTAAGATATCTGAAGAAAATCTCCCGGATTGTGGGTAAAATTATGACATGCCATCTTCTATGGTCACGCTTTGGTAAAAACCTGAAAGAAAGAAAGAAGCATACATATCGATGTCATGACAGCCAAAGGCTTCTCCGTTTAAATTTAATCTTTTTTTGGATAGTGATTTGATGAAGACAATAAAAATTAGCAATATCAGACAATTAAGGGTGGACGTGATAAAACCAACTGAGGGATGTTGATATTCATTATGAAAATGAGAAGGTAATAGACCAAATTCTACAACCAAAGAAGTATTCATCCTCTTATGTTAGAATTAAATGAAAACTTTGATCAAACAATTCCTAACAAACAGATAAAGTAACCTATCCCATCCAAAATAACAAACGAAGAGAAAAAAAAAAAGAAACAAAGATAAAGGTATGAGAATTGCAGGTTGCAAGTTGGCAATTGCCACACATCCGAAGCCAAAAAGATATTGAAAAAAAAGAGCAAGTATAATACCAGATAAGCATACAGCAGAATTGAATTACTCAAAGATAACCCGTTCTGCTAAACTTTCTAGGTACCAAAAGGAAACACCATTTGATACAGATCTCTATTTCTACAACATCTTGGGTGCAAATTTGGATCCCCAGTTTCCTATAACCACCCCATAGAAGAAAAAATAAAAATAAAAAAAGACAAAAAGAGGACAGAGATTAAACATAGATGTCTTGCAACAAATACATAGGAACACAGATCTTGGATTCATATATGCGACGACGAACACAAACTGCCCGAATTTCTACAAAGCGGAGGGGACAGCATACCAGACAAGAGACTACAAAGCGAGAAGGGCAAAATCACATGTTAGATAAGACCATCGACATGACGTAGGAAACGGGGGAAAAGTACCAACACCGACCACCGATCGATCAAACAGGGAGCTTATCATTATCGTTGGTGTCAGGGCCATCGTGGATAATCGGCTGGGTGAGCATCAGAGGACGATCCTTGGCCTCTTCATCATCGTCGTCTTCGATATCTTGGGTGCTGAGGTTGATGCAGGAACACCTCTCCAGCGAAGCGAAGAACGCCGATGCAACACTGGTGCCCACCCAATTCGCCATGCGATCGAGCTTTTCGCATGATATGAAGCTGCTGTTCTCCATCTTCAACGATTCAAATTCCTATTGTCCTTTTTGCCTTCAACGCTTTGAAACCCTAAGAAAGAATGAGAGAGGATTTACAAGATTTAAATGATTTTTAAAGCCCAAAGGAGAATAGGAACCCGGGGGGCCGGAGTAGACGTGAGTAAAGCGCGTGAGCGGTTTTGGATGTTTGTTTGAGAGAGAAGAAAAGATGCATAATAAATCCACACCACCTATGTTTTCGGCAGCGGGCTGAGTTGGGCACATCCCATTTTTTGAACGAGAAGGAGTACACGTCCTTTAAAACGACAAAATCACCCACGTATGTTCGACTATTTAGTTGTTTTTTATTTTAATTATTATTTTTTTTTATATTAAAATGAACCATCCATTCGAACCGAACTGCTAATCTATAAACTGGTGGCCAAACGGTTCTAATTTTGGGTTAGTATTTAAAACATTGTTCTCTTGTTCTCATAAGAGTAGGGATGGATAACAATAAACGATCAACGATGTAAGAGATTAGAGAGGGAACATCAGAACAATAGATTAGTGGGAGATGAAAATAAATGGATTAGACTTTTGGCATGGTTTGGACGGGAAGGCTGGTAATTCTAAGGGGGCATTCTTTTTCTAAATTTTGACGGGGGAAGTTGATCAATAGGATTGATCAAGAATCCCATACTCTTTTTTAGATTCATGTGAACATCAAGAAAAACTTTATTTTCTTGCTATCTCCTAGGTGAATAAATAACTTTACCACTTAGGAGGAAATTTGCCAACACTTGAATGTGACAAAAATGTCCCTTTTAATAATGGATTTTTATGGATAAAATGGTTTTGCCTTATTTACATGGAAAATAAAAGAACATGGGTAAATGTATTTATCCGGATAAATCTTTTTCTGGGAAACACTTACCCGAATAAATAGCTTATCAAAAAGCTAACGGACCTAAAGATGTACACATCAATTGATTAATCATAAATAAAAAAATATATTTATTGTGAGAACAATTTTATTGGATAGATAGCCAATTTCACTCTCAAAAAGGAGACCAGATTCAATCATTACAAAATTTGAGCTCATATCTTCCTCACAACACTTGCAGTTGTGCATTTGGAACATTTCAGTGCTTATGTTTTTTAATTCATATGAAGATACTCCCAATTCAAGGCCGTAAATTTTGTGAAAACGGTGTGAGGACAAATTTTTGGAGGATGAACCCGATTCCTCAATTCTTTTACATAAAAGGTAAATCTATGATATAAAAAATATATAATATTGAAAGAGTTTTGACCAATCAAAAATCCCGTAAATTTTGTTGAACGGTTATATTTTTTTGGACATCATAGTCCAACCCTTTAGATAAATTGGGTTATTATTCATAAGTAGAAGCTGAATAAGTTTCTTAAATCAAATAAAACAGTTACCATTTCTTCTTTGAAGGACAAAAAGTATATGTCAATAAATTTATTGAACAAGAATTGACTTCAAATGGCGTGAGACCCATGGTAATAATTACCAACGTTTTACTTGAATTCTACGTATTAGAATTTATCAAAATTCGTGAAAATCTACTAATCGATCGTTATTATAAAGTGGTAACCAATTAGATGAATTTATCAAAATTTGTGAGATGGTTTTGATTAGTAAAAGCTTTTTTAGTATGATCATGTTTCTTCCGGCAGTATATATTTTTCTATTTTATTAAAGCACAAATTGAGATATGGTGCGAGACCCAAACTAATTGAAACTAATTGAAATTCCACTCAAGTTGAAAATATATCCTTTAATACAAATTTCTAATCTAACTTGGCGTGGGTCTCATGCTTTTAAATAGAGTGGATTATTACTTACAAAGGATGATTCAATTACTTTGATCAAATAGAATACCTAATCTAAATTTAAATTTAGCATATAGATAATGGATCCCAAACAAACTACCTAAGAACAGTGACCCTATATTTAGGTGACGTTCAATATGGCTGAACAAACCTCGGAATGCTGAAAATATTGTTTTTTCAGTAGTCGGAGGTCCCTAGGTAGCATCTCCGAATACATCCTCCAAAAACTCCAAAAACTTCAAAGGTGAAGCTATTTAGGGATGCAAATGGATCGGATTAGATTTAAATCAGGGTATATTCGAATTCAATCCGACATTGTTCATGTTGGATTCGATCGGATCTGATAGGACTTGATTTGAATTTGAATTCTATCGACAAGTCGGATCTTCATATCTGATCCGATCCGACTTGTTTTCTTTAAAAAATAATAAATTATTAAAAGAAAAATAAAATATATTAATTTAAGTAAAGTAAAAAAAATACAAATATTTTAAAATTATTTTCATCATATATATACATATTTTTTATAAGAAAATAAATAATATAACAAATTATAAAAATATAATATAAAAAATATATTTATAAATAAATAATATATATTATATTTATAAATATATAATATATCGGATCAGATCGGATAGGAGTGATCCGAATTAGATCCAACCCAACCTGAAGATCTGAACAGGAGGTGATCCAAATTTGACCAAATGAGATGAAATCTTGGATCAACATGGTCTGATCCATTTGCACCCCTAGAGCTACCTTTGAGCACGTTTGGAGGTAGCGGACACATTTGTTTCCTACCGATGTCCTTTCATAAAGTTGGAAAACCCAAAAATATTCAACATCTTTGCTTTGATTCTTGCACACAGCCACAACTAGAACAGGAGAAACACTTAAGGTGTCTTGCATAGGAGAAACACTTAATGTTTATAAATATTATTTTATCTTAATATTTTAAACTAATTTAATATCAAAGTATTTTATAATCTTAATATTTGAAGACAAATATTAAGATTTTCAAGACAAATTAAAAATAGCAAATATTATTTTATAATATTTCTAATTGATATTATTTTGATCATTTTAATCTTTTAATTAATATTGTAATCTTATTTATTATTTATTATTTTCTAATTTTACTATTTCTTAATATTTGATATTTTTATTATTTTATAGTTTTATAATATTATAAAATTTTAATAATTTATTGTTATATAATAATTTAAGTAACAATTTGAGGGATAAATTTGTAAACTATACGTTTTTCAGATGTTAGAGCATTTAGATTATGGAACAACTTTATTACACTCAGATATATGCAAAAACAGAAAAGCAAATTTTCTTTGGATTGCTTTTAGAGCTTTTTCGGACATTTTTTTTTGCTTTTCAGACTTCAGATTAACCGAACCCCACCTTAGGGTGGTCATCAGCTAATTAAGATGTGCCCATTGGCTGATTTATCAAAAATAAGGATGTGTCTTAAATACTATTTTTCCAAAGTTCCCTCTCTATGTTACAAGTCTTGTACAGGATTCCATACCTTTCTCCTTCAAACCTACAACCTAAATGATTGTTCTATGTAAAAACTAAAAAGGTAGAGATATTGCCTTTGGGATCGTCTATTTTGTCTTTACATTTTTTATAGGAACGGGAGAAGCCAAATGGCAGCAGTGTCTTACAAAAAATAAAATAAATATTGGCACAAGGATGAGATGTTTGAAAGTGTCCTTTATCAAAATAAAAGAATATTAATAATACCAAAACAATATTCATTTGCTTTAATACAAATTTCGGGAAAAAAATCCAATGGAAATAGGAGTGTAACTTGGGCCAGGTTAGCTCAAACCTAACATGACCGAATTAATTGGGTTAGTTTAAAAATTAAGTTATGGTCACAGTTAAAACCTATAAATTTGACTTCAAATTGTTTTAGGGTTGAGACATTTTAATTCAAAATTGACATGTGTTCATATTTGTGTATACATATATGCATGTATGTTTTTATATGCTTTTAATTAGTCTGCTGGTTGTAGTTTAAAAAAAAGCTTGCTGGTAAATCTCAAAGGCTGTGTTTGTTTTTATTGTAAATGTGAATCGACTTAAAATTCTACCGTTTGTTTGCATTTGCCTGCGCTTGTTTTCAGTGTAAATACAAACCGGTCTAAAATTCTACTCCCAATCTGTATTTTCATGTATCTGTTTTTTTTTTTTCAGTGTATGGTTTACTTTGAAATTTGATGTAAATCTCTCTATTGATTGACTTTCCCATTGATAATCGATGTAAATAATACATCAATTTTGTTGATGTACATATACATCAATTATCACAATTGAAAATGTTCCAACTGTACACAAAATTTTAAATCCATCAGTATACAACTCAATTGATTGAGTTTATATTGATGAAGTTTACACCAAAAATAAACCCAATCTAACTGATTGTAGAGGATTTGGTCTCACCTACATTGGGGTTAGGCGTTTAGGGGTTACTTAAGGCTTCATGTGTTAGATGCATTATTGAACTTCAGATCTGTTGCCCACAGAGAATATTATCAGCAAGGTTTTAAAAACCAACCCGGGAATAGAATCGCTTTAATCATTAATTTCCAAGGTCAGTGGTTCAACAGCTCAGGTTGAACAGTTCAAGTGGTTTGACCCTTAGATTCGATTTTTTTTTCTTTTTGGTATTGTAGATTGGAATATTAGGGTTGACATATATATATATATATATACATGTCCCTTCTTTTATGAGAAAAGAAAGAGAAAAGTGATCGTCGGTTGAGAAAACAGGAAAGAAATGAAATAAAGGAAAGTAAAGATAAAGGAAAGAAAGTAAGGAAGGAAGAAGAAGGAGGAGACAACAACGCTCACTGGTGATGATGATGGCAACGACAACGTTCACGAACGATGATGATGGCAGCAGCAACGATTCTCTTTCTCTGTGACTTCAAATCTTGCTTCTCTCTCTCTCTCTCTCTATCTATCTATCTATCAGATCTCAGTGATCTCAGACATGAGATCATCTCAGTCCCTCCCCCATGTCTCAATTTCCTTTTTTTTTCATTAATAATCTTAAAAAATTAAATATTTTTTTATTAAACCACAAAACCATTGCCTAAGTTGAACAGTTTAGCGGTTTGACCATCCAGGTCAGTAGTTTTCTAACCAATTCAACATTTTTCTTTAAAAAAGTGGCCTTGTTCAAAATCGGACCCAAAAAGCATGACTGCTTCCCAAATCAAATGGTTCAACCATCTGGTCTGGTCCATTTTCAAAACAATGGTTATCAGTAACATAGAAGTGTAATGTGGGTCGTGTAACTCCTGTGCAAGTTGGGGGTAGGGCCTAGCATAGCCCAAGCCCGTGGCTGGGCTTTGGATCAGCTAGACTGGCCCTATTCTTTAATTTTCTTTTTTATTTATGTTTTTACTACAAAAAACAACAAATTATAAAAAGTAATTAAAATTGACAAATTCAATGATTACAATAACAATTTGAAAAAAAAGTCATAAAAATTTATCCCATATGAATAATTAATTCATACAATAAAAGTAATATAATTAAATGAAATTAAAAATTACATGAAATTAAAAATGCTATAATAAAACAATTTAAAATGTATTGGGCCATGTCGTGCCAGCACAACTTGTGGGCCAAAAACCCTTAGCCTAGCCCACCCCTGTTTGTGTCAACCTATGGGTGGCCCAATCCGTTTTACACCTCTACAATATTAGACTATCACTACAATTGTTCATGGTGGCTTTATGGGTAATGTGGTTACAGGACTTGTGACCAATGTTTTAAAAACCGACCTAGAGGCTGAATCATTTTTGCCTTCTAGTCTCAGGTCACTAATTCAACCGTCTGGGTTGAATGAATCAAACTGTTTTACATCATCAATATGTAAATACATATATATATATATACATATGTTTGTACAAATATGTATAAATATACATTTTATTAATAAATAATATAAAATTATATTCTACATATGTATTATTTTATATTTATCACTAAGTCGAATGGATTAATAATCCATCTATCCAGATTGAACGATTTTTAACCAAATCATTAGGTTTTGATCATTTTCCAAACTTTATTAAAACCAGACCGAAATCTTTATGAGATGATGGTTTGAACGATTCAATCAACTAGATAAACGGCGGGTTGAAAACACTACTTGTGGCTTGTGAGTGTAGCAGATCCGAGAGCTGTCGAACAACCGGGAGCTGTCGAACAACGACAACCAGCCAACCACAGTTTCATTATGCACTGTGAAGTGCGTGGGTCATGTGAAATTATGAATCACTTTTGATATGGCGACGACAGATTTGGACTCGCCGTGTTTTTTTGACGAGTTTTGATTGACTAGCCACAGAAGATCTGGACTTGAAGATAGGGATCTGCTGAACTGCACAATATTCCACGTGTCGTGAGACGTGATGGATAAGACTTAAGAGAGATAAAAAGGCACAGATGAGGGGAGACAGGGGCTATAAATCGAAGACGTTAAATTCGCATTCGACGTTTGGGAAGCTGAAATGGCAACTTTTTCCATTTCTTTGTCCAGAAACGGCTTACCTCTTCAACGCCCTTCCGCCATACTTCAAAAATCTAGCAAACAGAGATTCCAGTCGCCTATCCTAATCAAGTGCTCCAGTAAGAACGCCTCACTGTCACTGAATTTTAATTTCACTAAACATTTTCATAATTTTCCTTTCTCCCTCTTTCTTGATTTCTTCTCTGAATGCACTGGGCCGTATTTGGGTTCCGAAACCCTAGATCACAGCACAAGTTATGAGATTTCAAGATAACAGTGCAGTTTATAACTCTATAATTGCTGAGGTTCCAGTTGAATTTTGTCATTGGACAATGGTTCTTTAAATTCAATAATTTAAAGTTTCGGACATTTTTCTTTTAAAATTTGTACATAAACATCTGAAACGTACGAGAATTTTTTTGGGTGAATTCTAAAATCGGTTCGAGAAATATGAAATTTAAGATTTTTTGCATTTGGAAGGCAACCATGCTAGTCTTTTCAATTTATTTTATTTTTAAGCATAGGCTACTAATTGGCTTAATTCTCTAACGTAATTTAATCACCCATATTCTATTTTCTTATTTTTTTAGTTTTTACTCTTGCCCTCTGCACTCCCCCTCCCTCATCCTATACTAAAAAAATAAATCTTCGTTCTACTGTATTCTCGTTTGAGGTAACAATCTATTTGGTCACAATCCCAAGTTCAATTACTGGATTTTTTAATTTTGAGTGGACAAATATAATTTATGTTCATTTTATCTTGGTGCAGTTAGTGAGGACAGGTCTGGACTCCAGCAAAATTTATCTCCATTATTGGAACTTAAGAATGTAGCTTGTGGCTTGTTTGCTGTTTGGGCTGTAACTACTGCCTCACCTGTTATTGCTGCCAGCCAGGTTAATAGCATGTTTTCATTCTTAATTCCATTCCACATTCAAACAAAAAACTGTAATAACTTGTTGACAGTGATGCCCCAAAAGACCCAAGTATACTGTTCTTCAGTAGATAGCTACTCAAGTAAACATCAGTAGCTGACTTCTGTTGTGTATATATGTTTGTCTTTTTGAGTTTGCCAGCTTTCCATCTGAGCCTTAGCTTGACCAAAAGACCCAGCCGATATTAACTGCTATGTATACACTATTACACTGTGATAATGGTTGTCGTCAAGAAAAGTGAAACCTGAATTACTAGTATACCTGATATTACAAGAAATTATAGATGGAAATTTATTTGTTTGGCTTTGGTTGACCAAATCTTAATAATATAACAAGCATAATACTTATTTAGCTCTCTGTTTTTGGCTCGTTGAACAGCCATTTTCCACGTCATCCTACTCTCTTTTACAAAATATGCATGTTCCTTTTGTTACTCAATTTTGTCACTCTGGTTGTGGTTGCAAATATCAATTCTGCTAAATTCCATGCATTATTTATGTGATTAATACATGCTAAATTCTTGTTTATTTTAAAAAGCAGGCAAGGTTATTTTGTTTAATTGCACACCCAATATCTTGTTTGCTTTGATATGACTCCATCATCTTGAATCTGGTTTGCAGCGGTTGCCTCCATTGTCAACAGAACCAAATCGCTGTGAGCGTGCATTTGTTGGGAACACTATTGGTCAAGCAAATGGTGTTTATGACAAGCCAATTGATCTCCGCTTCTGTGATTACACAAATGACAAATCAAACCTGAAGGGGAAGTCACTTGCAGCTGCCCTCATGTCAGATGCCAAGTTTGATGGTGCAGATATGTCAGAAGTGGTCATGTCCAAAGCTTATGCTGTTGGTGCAAGTTTTAAAGGTATCATTTATTTTTATTGTTCTAATTAAGTTCATTTAATTTGTTTTCCTTCATCTTCTAGGGATTGGATTATCATCCTGATGACTAGACCTGTTCATGGGCCAGGCTCGGGCTTGGCTTTTGCCAAATTTTGAATGGGGCCCGGCCCAAAGCCCAAGCCCGAAACAGTGTAAGTCAGGCCCGAAGCCCGGCCTGTGAACAGGTCTACTGATGACTAATTGGTTCAACATGCTTTTATCTCTATGAAGGAAGACGATACTTTTTAGTTGTGTTTAGAGTTGACCCTGGAGGTCACGCATCTTCTCCAGGAAATTCAATAACTTGTCTTGTGTTAAATGTTAGCACTCAGAATTGTGAAAATTAATACAAGTATGGTTATAGGAAGAAGTGACTGATATGATGATTCAATGTTGCTGGAAAAATACCTTTTAGTGTCATGTTTGCACATCGTACTCATGTTGTTGATGTCTATTTCTGAACATCATTTTCCTAAGGACCATAGTGGCTTCCTCCTCTGGTGGACAGTATAGAGTGTCATTTGAGGGTTAAGAGTGGCAGGTTAGAACGTTTCACCTAGGGAAATTTTATGTCACAATTCACACCAAAGATTATGAGTCCATATATAACACTTAATTAGAATATTTTGTTTTAGTTATAGAGGCTACAGATTTGTTAGTATCACCCCAACTTATTATATTGGCCACAGAGGTCAAAAGTGGGTTTTGTCATAAGAACAACCTCTGTTATCTACCTAAGGAGGATTCCACCATGATCCCTTTCCCCAATCTTAATGGAAATAACCATTGACTTGTAAGCCACTGGAGGACATTATTAGCTATTTCAATTACTCTTTCTATTTCCATTTGACAAATTTGATGCCTTTTTAGGAAATATTGACATCCATTTGCTTTTTGTACGAAGCAAATTACTCTGGTACAAAATGTAATCCATTGAATTCTCTTGTTGACTAACAAGAATGCCCTGAGAGAAGTTTACAAGGCCTAATTTTCTTAGCTGGATGATATTCTAGCTCCTGACACTCGTGCAAGTATAACTGTAATAATTGGTTGAATAAAAAACAAAATCGTGAAGAACAGTCAAACATAATTACAAATACTAGCCAACCTAGCTAATGCACTATTGTTAAATTTTAAAGAGCCAAGAATACTGCTTTATCATACATTTCCTGTATGATGATGCCCTTGCACAGGTGTAGACTTCTCTAATGCAGTTCTGGACCGGGTGAACTTTGGAAAAGCAAATTTACAAGGAGCTGTTTTTAAGAACACTGTATTGTCAGGTTCCACCTTTAATGAAGCTCAACTAGAAGATGCAGTGTTTGAAGACACTATAATTGGCTACATTGATCTTCAGAAACTATGTGGTAATACAACCATTAGCGCTGAAGGAAGAATTGAGTTGGGATGTCGGTAACCGGTGTTTTAATTTTCTGTTTCTTCCTTTTTATCTTTTGCTTACCTCGTCCATACCAAGGTCATCAATGATCAATGCTGGGTCTCTGGGCTGCCATGTATCCATTTAATACTGCAGGTTCCTTGCTTGGTTTTGTTGATTAGTTTACAAAACATAGAGGGAATCGATCATGTAATGTTAAGGCAAGCGGCAGCTTTTCTTTTATTTTTATGTACATTTTGAAGATATAATTTGGTTGTCCATCTGTTTAACTTTTACAAGGAACGTGATTTTTATTTTTTATTTTTATTGTTGATTAATATAAACTGTGTAGCATTATATGACGTTCCTTTCTGATTAGGGTTTGACTTTGATTTGGGAAAGATATGATATCTAAAAAATTTCTGACCAGTAAACTAGAATTATCAACGTGGTAGTCAATCAGTATTATTTATCAAAATTCATGAGTGGGTTTTGAAGAGTCCCACATCATAGATTTTCCCTTCTGATTATTGTCCGAAAAGAATGGCCTCGGTCAGAATATTTTCTTTTTCTTCTTTCTAGCCTCCATCGGAACGGCATACCTGATAACCAATCATCCCAACCTACCAATGGGTATTCATCAAAGTTCATGCCCATCCGGCATGAAATTGCCATGTTGAAAAATAGGCATAAGTACATTATACGGTCCAAACTTTGTTTATCACCCCTTCTATAAGGAAAAAAATTAGCGTTAAAGTTCAAACATATGGCATATACACAGAGAAAAAAGGAAAAAAAAAACATTGAAATGTAAAAAACAAATTGTTATTCTTATCAATTATAAATAATATTAAATTCAATTGATTGGCAAACAAGCGCATCTGGTGTAGTGGTATCATAGTACCCTCCCACGGTACTGACCGGGGTTCGATTCCCCGGATGCGCATGTTATTTTTCCAACAATGAACAAGGGCATCCTTTTTAACCCGCTTGTTTTAATTTTCGATATAGTTTTTTTTAATTTTCTATAATTTTTTTTATGTTTATAAAATAATTTTTATTTGTCATACTTATTTTTGTTTAATATGATGAATATATGAAGAGATGTATCCAAATGTTTTTCACAATTTTTTTTTTGTATTTTTATACTTTTGTGTCTTCTTATCTTTATTATTATTATTATTATTATTATTATTATTATTATTATTATTATTATGACATCAATGATTTAAGGATTAACACATTTTACCCAAAAGGTTGAATTGTTAACCCTTCACCAAACAAGAAAATAACTCTATTTTTTATTTGGTTTTAAATTTGTATTTTATTTCTATCATCAATAAAAATAATTATTATTTGTCACACTTATTTTTCTTTAATATGATTAATTAATAAAGGATTCAATTAAAGAATGAATTTAATACCTTAAATATAAGACTTAATGAGAGGGAATTAAATGAAGAGAAATGTAGTAGTTTAAATTACATTGTGTGTGATAAAAAAATACATTTTGTGCCTCTGAATGTTAATAGAAGTTAACACCTTAAAATAATACTTAACTAGCAGGGACCGTGCGATGCACGTGATTAATTAAGCAAAAGATAAATAATAGAAAGGGTCATTTATTAAAATACCCTTATAGTTTCATGGATTTACTAAAATCTATCCTATAATTAGCATTTTACTAAAACACCACTTATAATTTAAAATGGATTTAATCAATCTTCCACTAAATGACAATGGAAAATGATAGTGTTGACCCTAATGTTTATTTAAATAAATTTAATTAAAAGAAAATAAAAAAAAATACCATTTTCGCCCTTAATAAGACATAGACAACCACTATATTGGCTATATTTGGTCAATTTTGTTTTTTATACAAAAAAAGTGTTAAGAGTATTTTTGGAATAAAAAAATGGGCCTAATGGCAAAACAAACACTCCTTAATGAAATGTTGATTAAGTGAATAAGTTGTAAAATATATGAGATGTTTTAGTAAAATGAAAACTATAAGGTATGTTTAAGTAAATATGTAAAACTATAAGGTGTGTAGGAATGGCAACGGGACGGGGATCATATTCTCCATCCTCGACCCCAATTCTAAAATTAACCCCCATCCCTGACTCGATGGGGATGGGTTCCCCGTGGGGACCCAAATCCCCAAAATGTATTCAAATAATAGTATGTTTTTAATAAATAAAAATTTTAAATTAGAAATAATGTTTTAAATATGTTTTGATATATATATAATTGGTAATTAGGGTCGAGGTGGGGTGGGGACCTCAATCCCCATCCCCGACCTTGGCCCCGATCGGGGATTCCTATTAATCCCCATCCCCGACCCCGGCCTCGATCGGGGATTCCTATTAATCCCCATCCCCGTCCCCGTCCCCGCCCCTGCCCTGCCCTGCCCTGCCAAAACAATCCCCATCCCCAGCCCCGGGTCGAGGAAGTCGGGTCCCTATCGAGGATGGGGAAATTGCCATCCCTAAAGGTGTGTTCTAGTAAATGACCCTAATAGAAACACATAAGAGTATACAATTATTTTGTATTTTCAACTTTTTAAAATAAGTAATAATTAATCATATTTTATATACTACTTTTAATATAATTTTTATAATACAAAAATAACAATAATTAATTTCAGTTAGGTTTATTCATCAAACTGATGAAACCGACCAACTCGATTAACTCGACCCGAGTTGATTGGTTTTTCTAGTATTTGAGGTTGGCTTTGGTTCAAAAATTTCCCAATTCGACCAAGTTGGATCAATTTCACTTTGGCCATTTATAAACTGACCAAAATTGAATGACTTAACCATGGATATATATTAATATTCTATATTTTAAATAATTTTTAATTTGGAAAAGTGGGAATTTTCCCATGTTTCTAAGTCTAAAATGTTTTATATCATAAATCTAATTTTTGAATTTATTTTTTAATAATTGCACTATAATTTTTAAAATTTAATTTTCAAGTTTAAATCTTTTGAACCGATTGATCAAACCAAAAAATTGACCCAAACCGATACAACTTGAGTGGGTCGGTTTTCACAAAAGGTTAGTCGATTTCAGCTAACCAACTCCCTAACCTGACCAGGTCAATTTGGTTGGTCAAATAGCTTACGATCGAATCAAACCAACTCATGAACACTATAATTTCAACTAAATTAATAGTCTTATCTATGATAAATAACAATAGTTTAATCTCCAATAATTATTGAAAATTTATAGCGAAAATACACAATTATTGAAAATATATTGATAATGAAAAATACAATAATTATAGAAATTAAAAAATACAATAATTACTAAAAATATATTAACTTAGTCAATAAATAGTGTAATTTCATATAATAGTTTAATATCTAATAAATATTAAACAATAACTTATAACAAAAATACAATAAATTAAATTTAAGAATTTCAATAATAGTAATTTAATCTCCAATAATTATTGAAAGTTTTCTGTTGAATAACAAAACAAAATAAATTTATACATAATCATTGAAAATACATTTATCACAAAAAATAATAAATATTAATTTTAGTATATATAACTATATGATAAATACAGATTAAGAGTTTAAAATTATTATTAAGAAATATTAATTTTTTGAAAGTTATTTTCTCGAATTATTACTTGATATAAGTGAAATTAATTATTTACAATATTATGTAAAAATATTAAACTATTATTCATTTCAATATTATGTTATAATTACGTTTCTACTTTTTAGAATTTTTAAAATTTATTCGATAATTTCTTTATATTAACTATTTAAAATATAGTTATGTTAAATATTTTGTTATTCAAAATATTTATTTATTTAAATACTTAAATAATATGTAAATATTTAAATTTTAAGATATTAATTATTTATTGAATTTAATTGTCCATAAAATCATAATTTATACTATTATTACATAATTTCATTATTAATTTTGTAATATATTAAATTATTATTAATTTCACTAATATGTTATAATTATTTTTATACTTTGAAGATTTTTTTAAATTTATTACATAATTTCGTTATTTTAACTATTTAAAATCTAGTTATGATAAATATTTAGTTATTTATATATTTAAATAATCTATAAATTGTTTAAATTTTTTATTTGAATTTTATTTATTTAAAGCTTTTACATATTATTAAATATTAAGAAAAAACATTTAAATTGATAATCCAGAAAAACATAATTTAAATTGTTAGTACATAAATTCGTGATATATTTTGTAAAAATATAAAATTATTTTTTTTTGTGTTTTTAATAAATATTTTAAAGTAATTATATAATTTTATTAGAATATTTAAATGATTCTTAAATTTTTTAATCCAAACTTTCTTTAGAAAGATATAGATGAAAAGTAGGGGAGAGGATAAATAGGAATTAGAGATAATTTAGAAGATAAATAGGAATTAGAGATAATTTAGAATATAAATAGGAATTAGAGATAATTTAGAAGATAAATAGGAATTAGAGATAATTTTAGAGAAAGTGGGGAATAGTGGGGGAGGTAGTTTAGGAGAAGAGATTATTTAGGTTATTGGGAAAGTGCATCTTCCAAAAATGACATGGAATAAAAAAAATAAAAAATTCAAAAAAAGGAGAAAACTTCTTGTCCTTACAATTACATTTCTTCTCATAAATATTGGGGTATTTTATTCCTTACAATTACATTTTTGAATGAAGAGAAATATGTTTATTCAAATTACATTTTTGTCCTTACAATTAGAAGGGATCAAATTAAAAAATTTGGGTATTTTAGTCAAACAAAAGATACACACTCTCATTCACACTTTTAATAATAATATAGATTATAGGGGATTGCTTACATAAATATTGTTTCATTTAATTTTATTTAGTGCCACATGCATTATTAAATTATTAACATTTAAATAATTTCTTAACACTTTGACCCATGTCCTTTTTGGTCTTCCCCTACCCCTTTTAATCCGTTCAACTTACAACAGATCATTTCTTCTCATAGGTGCTATCAAGGGTTTTCTCTGCACATGACTAGACCTGTGGTGTGGGTTTGAGCTTTTGCTTTTGCCAAAATTTGAATGAATCCAGTCCAAAGCCTACATATACACATGACCAACAGACCTTATACCTAACTTTAAGAAAAAAAATCATACGATTTAAAACAAGCGTCGTTTTTTTTTTTTGCTTTTGTTTTTTGCCTTATGTGAATGTTAATGCTATGCCCATGCATGCATGCCATGCTAGAGCCAAATTGGACTTTTAAGGCTGAGGCCCATACCAAACCCAATGTTTTGCTGGTCCAAGTTTGCGTTGGGCCTATCAATTTG